TTCAGCTGCGTCAGCCTCGCATCCAATTTCTTGATTGTCAAAAACACCCAGCACTATAACGACACAATGTGCCGACGAGTTTCTGTTTTCAAGTTCAATAGTGAGCCACCACGGGCTTTAACGCAAACAAAATCCATTCTATATATGTTGGCAAGAATCAATTGTCTTCCGGAAAAGTGACAAGTGGCAAAACCATGTGTCACGCAAAGGGACATATGAGCAACAATGCAAAATACGACCAACAACAGTAATCAATCACGCTATCAAGAGTGAGCCTGACAAGAACTATTTTTGTCGACTGCACTCAGCAATATACCCAACTTTGGGTTTGCTAAGCGGTGCCCAATGCCCTAACTGGCCCCGGACATAGTCTGGCCCCGACTCTTTTCAGATCTCGAGCCCCAATTCTTGGTGCCAGGCGTCAGTTTCAAAAGCTCCCACCTTGCGATGGACACATGCCAGATCGGCAACCCCGACACTTCTTGCCAGCAGTGTCAACACACGGTAGTGGCAGGGTTTCTTGTACAAGTGTCACTACCAATTCCAAAGCATGCCATGGTCAATCCTCTTTACAGGCCCATATTCAAGAGAATCTAGCTCGTGGACCAAGGACAGGCAGCGCCAGACGGAACAAGTGTTACTCCGTATCATGCCTCTTCATTCAAGCTTGCTCGTTTGACGGTGTAAACAATGACAAGTGAACATCCATCGATTTATCAGGTTCAGGATGGTCCGAGGTACCTCTGGATGAGTTGATCTTTCAGGTTGACGTTCATTGGTTCGTGCCTGGACCCATCCACTGGAACACTGGCCTTCAACCCGTCAATTTCCCACACTTTTGGGGCGAGGAGTGTATTTGGGAGACCGTGAGCGGGTTTGACTCATCCATGGTCCAACGGCGACCGTGAACAGCATCAGTTACAGCATGTTACTTGTTAATTACATGTTACAGCATCAGTTACATTAGAGATCATTAGAGATCATTAGAGTCATAGTCTACAGGTTAACAAACATATTTGTTGCCACTGCTCAGGCTCTTCTTGCCTGGGGTCTCTGACCCAATAGGGATGAACCTCCCACCAGCGCCGGCCGTTGGTGTCCCCAAACCCCAATGGTCTCAGACCACACCTGCAGCGAAGGCTCGGAGGCTGTGATCGCCTGATCGGGCCGAGAAGAGATGAATTGTTGAACCTGGCAAACTTTGGTGTCTTTTTTGGCTTTGGTACACCTTTTGGTCTTCTAGGCCGTGCTATGGGACCCCGACACCTGGTAAAATTCCCATTCAGGTGCAAGGAGGTTTGATCGAAATTAATTCATCCCGAAACGGCGTGGGAATAAACTGGAGTGTGAAAAACCAATGACCGAGTCTGGACCCCCCCCAAAAAAATAGCATCCGACGTCATCCTCCAGAGCTGCGAGGCATCGCGCCGCCAAAACTCACCCAAACCGGCCTTCTCATGAGACCAATGGGCCTCAAATGGGCCACTGGGCCTCCCTACCGCACTTCGCGAGGGCATCAAGGGTGGCCGCCGCAAAGAAGGAGCTGAAGCTGTGTGCGAAGGGAAGGAGACCTCGATGCAATGCTTCCAACGGTATTTCCAAAGTCCCAATGAATTATATACAAACTACACTGTCATAAAGGAAAAAAGTGAAGAACTCCTAGAATATCCTTCAAACACTGTCATGTGTACATATATAATATCCTGTGACACTCAAAAACACTCCCTGGAGAGCTGGAGAGTGGTCATACTCAATTGGGGTGGGATCGGGCCTCATCAACCGACTCCCATGCGACCAAGGCATGTTTATTAGCTTTGCCTTGTCGCATCTGTAGCGATGTCTAAAGGTCCCACCTCCTCACCCAAAGCACACTCGTCCTGAAGCACAGCTCGATCCATCGCAATAATTCTGTCTATATACCACTTGTCTACCGTATCTGCTCATCTTCTTGCCGCATCTTGACGCCAAATCTCAGGCAACATATCCACAACAAGCGTCTGTCAGCGAGGATAGTCAACACTACGAAGCACTCGAGAATCTGCAAGAAAAGTCTTGCCGGCAAGAAAACCACAAAATCACTTGTGCCGGCTACAACATGATCTACACACGCTAAAACACAACCAAACCATTTCTTATAACAAGTATATATGTATATATCGCAGGTGTATATATCTATATATAGCAGGTAACCAAATACAATAAGATCTTGTAAACAAACAGTAAACAGTGGTTGTCCTAGTCTCATCTCTCCTTAGATAGTTTCACACTTACGGCTTGTCAAAATCAAATACCCCAGTCAACTGAAGGTGGACATCCGACGTGTCGAAGGATCATAATCCACCCCGCTGGAGTTGACGTCCTCTGGGTCGTAGTTGTTCTCATTTTCAAACCATCGCTCGTCTTCGTCCACCTCGGTGTCCGGGGACATCCACGTTAGAGCGTGGAGTTGCTGCATCTGAAGCAGTGCTCTTTTCGGGCGACATGGACAACTATCACAAATCCTGGACCCTCAATAGTAATATAAACTATTGGGTTCTTTTTCTTATTGGGTCGGTTTGGCTGATTCCATCGATTCCAATCAAAAGTGGACGCTTTCAACCAAAATTGAACGCTAGCAATGCTCCCTTTCTTTCTTGATGCAATATGTCGAGTGGAAAGCCTGCAAGCCACAGTGCAAACAAGTGCGCGATCAATGAAAATTTGAAAGCGTGAAAGGCTACTGGAAGTGTACACAAAATGATTCTTGTTGGAGACAACGTCCCTTTCTCCACCCACCATCCCAAGGGAAATCCTGAGAAGTTAAAGTTATGTGATGGACACTCGATGAAATCCCGAGAACCATTTAGACATCACAAATACATAAATCCCCATTTGCGTACTCTTGCGGCTCTTGCGGGTTTGTGCGTACTATGTGCAGATGTGTCTATACCGATACCATTGTTTGGGTGATACGTGTGAAATGGCAGCTTTGCAAATGACATATTGCACAGCAAGTGAAACATAATAGAATTATATACATAAATAGTTGGAGATACTTCCATCTCTTGAATTAGTTGGGGGCAAACCATTTTTCTGACTCAGCATCCAGCTCTGCTTCAAAAATTGCTACCAGTATCTACCAGTCGTGTTTGCAGTTGTTATTTGCATGCATCAAAAGCTACTGTCGATGCACAGTCCAATCATGTCAAGTCTTCATGAATTGAACTATTGAATGTGAACTATTGCGCCAACATGTCCAGTTTAAAGGGTTTGAACGCGGCTTTTTGCGGGCAAAGGTCTTGCAATAACCAATAATGGTTAAACATATAGAAACATTAGAACATGTTCACATATATTCACGCTTGAAGCTTCAGGATACTATCAAAAACTCAAACTCACAAACCCCCGAACAACAAACAGTCACTTACAAATTGACGCTAAGAGAACTGTCTTGTCACCCAGGCTGGTGAGGGAACCCTTCAGTTGCTCTGCTCGGTGAGCCATCCACGGCTCACCAACAGTTCGACCAGTCCCGTTCTAAGGACCCCGACTTCAGACTCCGAAGGCGAAAAGAGTGATGAATCAGAATCCAAACGGTACTCCTGCAGGACTTCTTGTTGAATCGTCTATCCCGAACGAAAACAAGTAACAAGACGATTCAAGACTTGGGGCAAAGCCAAATCATGGAACTCCTTGAAATTCATAAAATTTTGAGCGATCATCGAACCTCGAGCCTCTCGCATCCGGATGAAAACCGGCACCTGAAGTTTGGGATCTAAACAGGTCGAAGATCGGTCAAGACTTGAGATGGACTGGACACAAAAATGGGACAACGTCCCTTGTGACAAATGATGACAGCTTTCTTGGTGATGTCAGAAATAAGTCGCCTGTAAATGGTCATCTCAGGTCTTAGTTCAGTATGGATGGGATGGTGACCATGCGTTATTCTAAATCCCCTTCAGTGGGAGTGGCGTTTCTATTCGCTCAACCTGCATCGCATCGATCTTGGACAAAAAACCCTCTGCAAAGACTTCAACGAAACTCGTCGGGTCGCAGATTGATTCCATGATTTGATAGCTCGACCAAAAGAAATATGTTAACATAGTTTAATCATTTGTCATCATGTTTCCAGTTTTGTGTTTCTTGATATATTGATATATATTGGATTCCTCTAGCTAGCCAGGGTGCACCGACATACACCGACACAAAAACTGGTCCGCACTGCCCCGAACAGAGTCGGCCGAGAAAAAACAACAACACACGATCATCAATACTGAACCCATCTCACACCTCGGTGTTTGCGGACGTATTGATCTTCTTCCATCTGTTGGATTTGAGCGGGGCAAGCAATCCCCAGAACCTAAAACACCTCGGAGAACCATCATGTCGACATGCGCCTCCCCCTGTCTACGTGGGCCTGCGAGTACTCCTCTTCAACGATTTGTGGCCAGGACTCCTCTGTCTCAGGAGTTTCTGTGAAAGAGTCATATGGTTCTCTATGGTTCTCTCATTATCGTGATTACAATTGATCCTGACAATCGAGCGGTCTTGATATCATGAGACCAAGCCATTCACTTCATGCAAGCAGTGATTCAGCTGCTGCGGGGGCACTTCTTCGGCGATGAGAGGCTCTTGTGGAAACTTGTTCCGATGGTCGCATGAAAGGACCGTGGGACACTGAGGGCCACGTCACGAGAATCGCAGTTTCACATCACGAGGTCATGTGGTCGCAAAAAGAAGTCAATGGTTGCTACCTCAAAGAGCAAAATCTTCCTCCTAAGGCCCCTGGATCCATGTTTGCAGGAAAACAATAACATGATGTATAGTATTGTATGGTTATATACTGTATATTGGGAGAAACTCCGGGTCTACCGTCTCCTTTGCTACATCCATATCCAGGCGCCCAGTACGACTCCCAACACCCCCTCGGTTTCGTTCCTGCTTACTGCTGGAGCGGAAGGTCTGAGCACTGGAGGAGCACCGAACAGTGCTCCGAGAGGCGCTCACGCGTAAGGTTTCCCTCAGTGCCTGGCAAGGCATGGAGAAGGTTCTGTGGTGACCCTCGTTTCCTTTCCCCTAGAAGCAGGGAAAACACCCCTCACATGGGTTAGACATGGTTAGACAATTATATTCCTACCAGGTCCAGGCGGCATATTGGTTTGGAGAAGGTACGAGAAGGTAGATATAGTGGAAGCCAGAGCAAACCAAAGAACAGAGATGTAAACAGTTGAGTAGTTGTTCCTTTACTGCTCCGATGATGCACACATATCTATCCATCCATGTGTCTTCGATATTCGTCTACAAGCATAAAAGGTGCATGTTCAAAGTCTAGCCAAATGCAAATTATCCTGACTTTTTAAACGCCTGTTTACACTTTACAAACCCACAACTAACATCCCACAACATACTCTTCTCTCAGTGAGCAATGACATAAATCACCCTAAATCATCCATGCAATCCATGCAACACAAAAACAAGACCAACTTTGCAAGAGAACACGAGGTAAAACGTGTGGATCGTGTGGCTCAATGTGTAGCTCCGCTGCACCTCTCGTTTGCCCCAAAGGTGGGAGGCATCATGGAGTTGCCGCGCCCATCGGAAGGCCTTGATCCCGACGGCGAGGCGAAACGGTGCGATGCTGTCCAGCGGGTCGATCGAACCGTTGGGGACTTTTGATGGTTATAGAATTTTATATAGAACATTCATGATTTCTATTGATTTGTTGATCATAAAGTTTTAAAGTTACAAAATAGGTCAAGAATGTGGCAAAGTCTGTTTTGGAGGGTTGCTGGGGAGTTTGGGATTGAATATCCAGCACGATGAGAAAGTGGATCAACAAGTTGAGGCTCATGAAAAGGTTGGATACCAGTGTAATCTATCAAACCCTTCCCTTGCCATTGGTTCTAGGTGGGGCTATTACAATTCCGTTTTCAGATACCCAAGTGCCCCACTTGATAAGGCCGTTCTTCCCTCACTTGATCTTGCCGAAGCAGGAGATAGCAGGGATTGATGTTTTCAACAACTGTGACTGTGTCTTTGCATATCTTCCCTTGTAAGGTATCCAACTGCGAATCATGCTTGCTCATTCGATCTGTAAACCGTTGTAACCCACACGTGTCCAGCAAAGCTGTTTTGGATGGATATGCTTTGCCGGTAGCTCCACCAGTCTGCTCCACAGTCAATCCTACTTCAATAAGAAAAACGGGTATCAGTATCAGTACTCAATCCACCTTTACAACATCACAAAGCGGTCTTGCTCGCCATTCATGGTTTAAGACATGTTAAGACTTATATTACGCACTGGCTTCGTTCAAAAGACACTTCCTCGATGTCACAGGCCTCGGCACTGCACCAAACCTGGCAGTCTTCGGGACAAGTCGCTCTCTGGCTCTTTACATGTCGGACTTTGCTCTCCAAGGACTTTTTGTTGGGGCATCAGAGCAGTGACATCACTTTTTGTGCGACCGATGACATCGTCGCCAAATGCGCAGTTCGACGTACTTTGTCGGCACTTCGAAGCCCGAAGCCGATGAAACAATGCGCCTGCAACCGCAAGGGTGCAATGGATTTGCCACTTATGCAAATGTCGTGGCCATGAACAGTGATGGTTGCCTTGGCAGAAAGAGGTCACTGAGAAAGAAGGTCAGACCAGCCCATAACGAACTCTGCTGAACACCATGTAACCCAAACAGAGCGTGCTCCACGGTCGCCACTTTGTTACAAAGTACAGCGTCAATCAGCGTAACAGTAAGCACGCAACGGAACTAGTATCCTATCTTCGGAAGCGCCGTGATCTTCATGTTGTATCCAGTTCAAGCCATGCTTATCATCTCTATAAAAAGTCTGCATCGACTTGTTCAAGAGACACGCCTGGATCAATATCGACATGACGAACCCAAATTGTACGATTGTATAATTGTATATTGTACGAGTATTTGTCAAAAATATGCCAATATCTTGGACTCTCGGGCCTTGTTCTCCGGACGAATCTGAGGCGTCCACTCCGGCCAAGAGTCGCGCACAAAGCACACGGCCTGTGTCCTTACTGCCTGAGAAACGCATGGAGAAACGCCTGCTTCACATCCCATGGACGTTAGTGACGGAGAATCACGTGGCTTTTGGGTCATTGCGTTGGTCCCAGAAAAGCCGCCCCAGCTTCCCCAGTTTCCCAGTTCACTCAACCAAAGTCAGCAGTCTGGAAAACTCTGGGTCGGCTCACCTTATATATGTCAAAACTAGTTCACAGTCAATGCATTCAAAAGTCGAGGGCTATGCAAGCTTCTTGGCCTTCTGTCATCCAAAGAGGCTAGTGTTGTTCGCCTGATGTGGGGTTATCTGCTTCGAGTTTAAAGAATCAAAGAACTATCAAACATTCATACTCATATACTCAATAATGATAATGACATATAATGACTATAGCTAACCCGGTGATCCACTTTTTACATAGAAAAACTCATCACTCACAGGATCTGATCGCCCACCGGCCGTTAGGACAGGTCCCATATGAACGTCCTGCCGTCTGGACCAAGTCGCCGAGAACCAGCAGGTCACCCTGCAAACCGATTCGACCTGAGGCACAGCGGTGCAAACACCGAACTGGATGAAGAACATGGAGGGTGGAAAATCATTGAACTTATTAGAGTTGGTCAGTTGTGTGGAGGTGTTTAAGAAAAGAACATGGTCTTTCAAGCAAACGGTTGCAACTGCCTTGCAAGTACCCAAGCAAGTGGATGTTCACGCCGAACCTCAATGCTCAACTGTTCAACCTCAAAAAGACTGGAGTTCTGCACAATGAAATCTGCTGCAAAGAACATGCAAACATGTCTAGCATACAGGTTGCCTTGGTAGCGGCCGTGGGTCAAACTGACTTGATCCAAAGTAACAAACATGACGGTAAGCGGTAGTGAACCTCATCTCTCGTGAGATATTGACTAGTAGTAATTAATCCATGGGTTTACCCTGAACGAACATGGAGGAACACTTCCTGGTAATCCGTGGGGGCAGATTCTTTCTCCAGCTTTATTCGCCCGCGAACGCCCGCGATCTCTCTGGGCACCCTGAACACAAGCCCGATGGGGCTCCAGGTCCGATCGCCGTGCAGCACCTGCTCTCATGGAAGAAGAGCACAAAGTTCGACGCAAATTTGTCTAACCCTTCCTTCTAAAAAACCATGAGGTTGACCGTACGAATTTGAAGACGAATACGAACTCGTATATAACCCTCGTGTCTTTGAATAGTAGGAATTTCTTGGGAGGCCATGAGGACTACCAAAGGCCTTGAAGGAGCCCGTGTCCGCGGTGGTCTAAGTGGTCGTCTGTACGTTTGCTTACTCGATCAATCGTGGTGGTGGGATGTGTTTTGTCACTTTTTGGCAGATGGAGCCAGACCCGATAACCAAAGGAGTTTAAAGCAACCTCACTTGTGAACCGATCAACCCTTCAGTTTGGCCAAAATACAGCCACCAGTGGTGCTAGTTGTTGTTTGGACCCCAGCACTGACACACCAACACTGGCGCTGGCGTGATTTGGCAACAAAGCAAAATGTAAACTAAACCACCACTCATTTGTGTGCAAGCATGGTTTCGCTTTGGCTCTGATCAAAGTTGGCTGTAAGTTTTCCCGGGGGCAACAAAAAACAGAGTAATTATGCAACAATGCAGTAACCAGTATGCCACAGGATGGCATAGTTGCTACATGTGGGTTGTACATTGAGGAAACCGGAGGTAAATAGGTAAAGATTCCACATGCGTACAACCCCCTGACTACCAAAGCGAGAAGATGAGTCAGTTTCGTTTACATGCCCTATTCCAATTCCATGCGGGCTCATGTGGGTGATGAGAGAAAACACAAGACGTACTCCATACTCCACACCTGGATTGTTGGTGCTCAAATCACTAAGACCAACTGGGTGACTCCCACTGGTTGGGCGGGACCAATGGCGGTGGCTTGGAGCTCGAAGAGGTGTGTCCTGGACAGTGAAGCACATTGGTAGCGACCAGCCACTCTTCAGTGTCCAAAAAGTGTCGGGTCGAAGTAGCACATGCTCACACGCGTATCCAGATAACACCCTTTTCGGCCCCTTTGGCCTGCCATCAGCTTTCACTCGTCGGTTTAACATGACCCATCTGTTGATACAATGGACAGCTGGACATTCGAGATGAGACATTGGTGACAAAACGGACAGTTGTTCCAGAATCGCTAGCCCGACTTTGCAATGGGATACAAAAGAACTGATTATTTGATTGATATTAATTTACTTACATAATTTATGGATGTTCTGCCCAGCACAAACACGACCCTGTCCTGTGGGGAATACATTAAACTTTTTGCCAAAAGCGTCTCCAAACCAAGGCAGATTCCAAGAGTCTTGCCTTGTTGCTTGCGGCGCAATGCAACGTGCGAAGCATTTTCGATCGCGGCAAACAGGCACGGCAAGTCTCCGTAAAGGCTTCACATATCGATAGTGTCGTGTATTTGCTACTTGCTGTTTATCTCAGGAATCATGAATGTACATCTCACAATATCCCGTGGTGACGGGCATTCCACAGTGTCCTTCAAAGGGCAAGGGCGGCGGCGGCGGCGGTGGTACTAATGCGTTGCCACATCCAACCTGCATTGCGAGATATTGCGAGGGTGGGACAGTACCTTCGAACAATCTATTTTCCAAGGGGCAAGAAGGAACACTCGCTCAGGCATCCTAGTAGGGAAGCATCTCTAAGTCTGGAAAGGAGCCGCTGGTGACCTATAGTGGTTTACTGGGATCCACTGGGCATCCGGCCTCGTATTCAGAGGTTTTCGCCAGAAACAAGCTCTCAGTTGCCCCCATGTTGCCCCCAATCATCCCCAATCCATTCAAATACCTCATGGTCCTGGGGTGTGGGCCGACCGCTCAAGGTATGCTCCAACATTGGAATGCCAATGTTCAAAAAAGAATCCGTCCACTGTAATTTGCGTTCGCATGTTACCGAATCTCCAACTAGATGTCTACACTTCTTCCAAAGGCCGGCAGCTCGAACTGAAATCGAACCTACAAGGTATGTGACTAGTTCTTCTAACTTCACTAGAAGCACCGTTGGCAGGGCATCCGCACTGAATCCGCCAGCTTGCGCAAGCCCTTGAGGCAGGCACAATCCATCGCACCTGGCGTGCAACACCATGGAAGGGCTTCTGGAAGGACTTGCTTTTGTACCTCTGAACAAAATATAGAGTGGACCGTTGTGGACCATTGAGTAACACGGACCGTTTCTCCGCTTTGCTTAATGGAGCTTCGGTTCGCCCCAAGTCAACATATCTGCCGCCTCAATATTGAGTACCACAGGCCAGTTTGCATTTCCAGGTGGAATCTCAAGAACACTATTGTATGGATGGCTGATAGGGATTCCTTGAACTTACATTTAAGGATTCTGGTCAGTCCTTTACAAGGGCTGGAATGCATAAATCCAACTTCCAATTATGCACATTGTCAAACTACTAGCAAAAAAGCTCCAAAGATCAAAACGTGTGTCTAGTTCGCAGAAAGTAAACGCTTTTACGTCTGGAAGCATGGTGTCGCACGAGGCCAACCTCGCCACTCTGAGCGTAGGTCTCGACATGATCGACATGTCTTGACTAAATCAGAGAAGAATCCGCAAGGCGGATGCACACAGCAGTACGAAAGTACATAGGCAGCAACTAGAAGAACTTGACTACGAGTACTTCCGAGACATCCCTGATAAATGACTTGTTGCTGAAAGTAATGTCCGTAGACATTCCTCGGTGTCTCTCCTCCATAGATCTCACCCTTCGTCCAGGACGTGCATTCGGTATGTCTAGAAGCTGAAGGAACATCACGGATGCTAGGCGGCGGAACGCCTTTTCAGGTCGAGCAATGAGAATGAGCTCCTTTTTTGCAAACGATGAAACATCCGTGATTGACCCCTGGCTATACGCTTCTCAACAAAGGGTTGGTGCAATGAATGACCTGGTGCAAAAAGATCTGCAGAATCTAGATGAATCAAGACTGGTGCAAGAATCTAGATGAATCCAGACTGGTGCAAGAGCAGAATCCTGGAGTGACCCTGCACAATCCTTTTCTTCTCACTTACACCAGCTGCTTCATGGCGGAGGCATGCTGGTTTTCGCTCTGTTTTTCTCAAATCCACCGGATGCAGGGTTCGTATGCTGTTGACAAACACTGTCAAGACTCTTCCTGTGGACGCCAAGCTGGGCATGGTGGCCAACACAGCCACAGCCACTTCACTTAGCAACCTGGTTCCTTCGGCTGGCACCTGAGCCAGCTGAAGGGTAAATATATATGCTCCGTTCGTAGCGATGCCCTTGTTCCTAGTAGCGATGCCAGGAGCGCCCCGTTCGTATCGTCCTTGTTACCAAAATGACACAAATACATATACTTATAATATGTCCATTACTCTCCCTCTCACAAGCTCCCCAAGCTGTCACCGGCAAGCATATCAAGTGAATCTTGAATCCACACCAGCAAAGCTAAAAGGACCATGCCAAAAAAACAATGCAATGCTCAGAACATGCTTACGCAAGAAGCGAACACCCATGACCATCACGACAAAGAAGCGAACACCCTGTCTATCCCTTCACCACTCGGACCCACAGCCCCCTATGGGTCCCTCGGGTGCCTTCGAAACGGGGGAAGAAGCTGCAGGGGAAGCTGTAGCCAAATGAGCAGCGCCACAGACGGTCTTGCTATACCAAAGCATTGAGTGGTGCGGCCATAGACCGTCTTGCAGTAATTTGCTGATCACCTCTTGAGCTTGGGGCACTGATCACCTCTTGTGTTTGGCATGATCATAATAACTGTCAACTTCTCACCACTTGAACTTGTTCAGTCAACAGTGACTTGGCAATTGAGAGCGGCCAGATTTCTTGGAGGAAGTGTGCTTGCTAGTGGTATTCTGGGATCACCTAATTTCAAACACACCCAAAGCAGCCCAACAAGTGCTCCATATGTTTTCTTCAGGGGGCATATCCCCTTTTAATGTTTCCTTCCCTGCAGCTGAGGTTCTCCAATTTGGAAGAAAAACTAGAAGGAAGCGAGGCTAAGCAATCTCATTGATGACTTCTTTCGAGCAACTCCCAACCGCCCCCTTCATCCGTGACACCGATATGGCGGCTCTTTGGTCCTCCGCCGAGGATTCTGTCGTTGATGACTGGCCGATGGATTCCGTCGTTGAAAACCCAGCGGGCAAGGGCTACATACGCCACATGGCTGGGACAAGAAGCTGGCACACTTTCGGTGTTGCCCCACGAGTTCTTCCAGTGTTGACACACTTGCAAAGCTGCAATGCTGCAATCGGATTTGTTGGTCGAACCATGGTGGCAGCCTCGCAATGGCGGGCACAAAGTGTCTTGGGAAATTCAACTTAAAGAAAAAGGCCTTTGTCACCAAAGGCTCTCTTGGACAAAATATATATATATATAGTGCAATCCCACATTGAGAATGCTGGACTGAACATTTGTAGCTCCAGTCCAAAGGGGGTCAGAAACACAACATATGAACTCTATGCATGCATAATATATACAGTACATATACAGTACAGTATATATGTATACAATTATATACATGTTACATGTCTCTATATATAAAAGACTCTATCATTGTCTATACTGGTTTTGTCGAATGGTGCAACAACCCTAGTATGGCCTAGTGACTAGTGGATTTCTTTTTCTGGGCTCGAGGATTGGACAGTATCACTGGCCAAAGAATCAACTCCGAAAAAGGATATCAAAACACATAACATCACATATAAATAAACCTGCACTTGGACCAGGTGGTTTAACTGTATACCTGGACCTTCCGACCCTGCTCCTGGTCGGATAGAAGGCCACTCAACTGGACATGTTGAGTTTGGCACCAACCTGGGTCTGAAGCTCCTAGCTTGACTGCAGCCCTCAAATCAGCCTGACATTGCCCAACACTTCCAAGAAGTTCAATAGTATAAAAGAAAAGCAGCCGGTACTGTCCAGCCAGCAGCAACGAGCTAACAAGAGCGATCTATCGAAATTTCACAGGCAGCATCGGCCTTGAAAGAACTCGATAGCAAGTTCAGTCCTAGAGAATTGGACAACGGTCAAAATCAAGTGGAACAGATCTGGGACACAGGGACCGCCTCTCTTCTATAAGCATAACACATTGTAGTTTCATCACAGAAGATAGACAGCCATGAGTTAACTCTCCATCGAACATATCGACACTGACGTCAACCGTTACTCAATCCAACCCTTGGAGCTCCGCTCGAGGAGCAGCCACACCGATTGACCGGGGGCAGTCTTAGTCTTGAAATATTCCAACTATGACTCAGCCAAAAAAGGGAACATGGTCCTTATATCACTGCTCTGCTTCTGAACACAGGTTGAGGATCTGAACATATCTGCTTCGCATGCTTGGCCTCAAAATCACCTATGATCGCTCTTCGTTTCACAAGGGGCAAAGCTCTAGCTCGCCTTCAGCAAGGTCTCGGCAGAGAGGAAATGGCCGTAGAACAAAAGTCAACAAGGCAAACGATACTAAAATGCTTGTCAAGTATAAAACAGCCATCGATCTGCATCTGAACTTTTTGAAACGTGTTGATCTTTTTGGTAGTTTTGAATCTCCTGCAATCCAAAACCTTTGGTGAGCTCCTGCAAGCCTTTGACATGCGTGCACAGAATCTTGAACCATCAAACCCATTTGTGGCCTGTCTCTGATGCCTCAGGATGGTTGAAATGCATGCACAGAATCGGTCTCAAAGGACACTCCTGGCCCTGCGATCCTCAAAACATCCTTGGTCAATGTAAATTCCATCTCAGGAGAACTCCATCTCTGGAAACCAAAGTCTCCACATGCAGATCATTGCAGATCTGTGTGGTTCCTCTATTCCCCACCCTGCTTCCTATTAAGTTAACCGCCAACCAGCCAGGTTCCTTCTATGTCTTGCATGTCCAAGAGATGCGGCAAGAGTGGTGAAACGCAACACGAGAGCTCCGTTGCAGGCGGCTCGAGACCATCCCGTCTTCGCCCAAAGAGGCTGAAGACCAAAAACAGAGGGTGAATGGTTAGCAGTAGCATATCTATGCTTAATGTGCTGACCCAAATCGCATTAAAGACCGGATGAAACAAGTGAGTAAGGGTTTGTTCATGGTCAATATATTTAATGTGTTGTGGGCCATGAGAATCCACACAAGGTTCCTAGGCTAACGTATGGCTCGTGGAGAGCCCCACCCATTGAAGTGGACCAATCGGGGACTTGCAGCCTTTCGATTGACAAATCCAAATTGATGTGGTGATATCTGGTGGTTGTCCTAAATCAGTACTACCAACAAAACATACACAAACAACAACAACAACAACAACAACAACAACAACAACAACAACAACAA